TCTTAACCAGCATCTCTGGCTGGTCTTGGTATGTCCTGACAGTTCCCATGCTGACACACAACAGGTTCCTCTGCCCAATGCATTGGGAAGTATCCCCAAGATGCCACAAAGAAAGGAGCACCTTACAGATACAGAGTCTTGGGATTCAGGGGACAAAAAAGGAGTTTTCAGTCTTTTACATCTCCCACTCTGTCAGCTTCAGGCTCAGGGAGACAGGGAGAGTCATAGATTTTACAGATACTGGTCTCACTTCAGCCTTCCTGCAGGCACAGTCTGACAGGGAGTGGGAAGAAAACAGCTCAGGATGGATAGCCTACTTCCAGAAAATCATCATAATCCACAAACCATTAAGTAGAGCTGTAGGAAGTTCCCAAAACATTCATTCTCCTGTGGACTGAGAGCTCAGAGTGGCACTAAATTGAAGTACAGGCTGGATCTGCCATGAACAGACTGTGGAAACTCCAGAAGTAAAAGCTACTTGGCCAATTCCATAAAATATTCTACAACTAGGCTCCTGAAATATGACCATCTCTACTCTCACCTGGTGATGGAAGGATGAGCTATGGTCTTTCCCTCTGATGGGTTTTTTTAGGATCTGCAGTGAACTGCAACAAAAAACAACCAAAATCCAGTTATTTCCCACAACTGGAACAGAAAAGTGAGGAAAAAGGACACAGGTGCACTCCTGGCACCCATCACCTTGTGATTAAGCCCCTCCAAACCATCTTAAGAAGAGACTGAAAGCCCTGGGGACCAAATTGCTGGGATTTATAAGAAAACTGATGAGTTTTATTTTGGCAATAAAGCCCAGTTATGCTTGTCTCATCAGCCAGGTGCAGCAGCATCTCCAGGAGCGTGGCCAGGTGCGTCTGCCCAGCAGAGAGCTCCCTTCCACCTTTCAGAGGAGCCTGTGAGGCGCAGGGCCGTGGCACTGGCCCCCATCAGCAGCATGTACCTGGGAAAGGGCAGGCAGAGGCTCAGCAGCGTTCCCAGGCTTGGCCAATGCCTCCACAGCCTCACCTGACAGTCAGCATCACCAGCATTGTTAATGCCCTGCCTCAACCTGTTCCCATTGCTCACCACACAGGAACACACAGCAAACCCCAGGAAATCTCCAATGGCCGGGGGAAGCCCCGCCCTGTGCCTGAACTCCTTCACTCCATTACTGAAATTCACAGTGAGCTCCTGGCATGTTTCTGCATGACAGCAGAGGAGGTGTACACCTACAAAACCATTCAAAAAGGAGCTCTGTGCAAACAGCAGAGGACTTAAATTCTCAGAACTCATTCTCTTTGTTTTCTTTGAACAGGAAAACCACAAAAGGGAAAGGTCTTGATTAAATATATGACATCTGCTCTTTTTAGTTAGTGTTTCTGTAAGATGGGATGGTGTGAACATGCACACCATTACTGCAGGATAGATACAGGATTGAATTTACAAAGATAGTATCTTTAATGTGACTAATGCTATACTCTAAAAGCCAGACCAGCTTTCAGGATATGCAGGCTGAAGCTTTGATCCTCAAGGCAAAATACAGCTTCAAACTTGTGATACAAGTTTAACTTGCACAAGCTAATCAATTATATCATCAAAGAGGTTTGTACCTGCAATACAGAGAGGGAAGATTCAGTAAGTCATTAGAGAGAGGAAAGGTGGGTTCAGCAGAACACACAGGAGCTGCTGGTGGCTCAGGAATGGGAAAATTATAACAGGGCACAGAACCAATATATTTATCGACTCTTAAATTTCTGTGCAGCTTAAGAACTGTTAAAAGCTTAAACAGCTCTTTATCTGAATTTAACTTTGAAAACTGGTGTTTGTATTTCAGTGAAACATTTCTGTGTCTGAAAGTGTCTCCAGTTTCATTCAGCTGGTCTCATAAAAGACATCATTTGACCCTCCAGTTTCTGTAATTATAGCAAGACCATAAAAACTTTTTGATTCAGTTAGCAAACTCACAAAAGAAAAAAAGAATATTTTTTATATTTCTACAAATAAATTCCTAAACCATAAATCAAACAAAACTTTAAGGCCTTAACTAAAGATAATATAAATAAAAAGAGGGCACGATATAAAGCGTCCTTCCTTTTCCAAAGTCACAAAGTTGCCTGATCCAGAAGGCTGGTATTTCAAAAGGATTAGAAGCATTTCCCCATCTCCAATGAGATGAACATGTTCAGAAGATAAATGTTTAGGAGATCTTTCTAGAGATACAAAGTTCTGGAGAAAAAAAAAAAACAAAAAAACCAAAACATTTATTTCACCTTTTAGTGCACAAGACACGACATCTTGAGATGGGCTGGATTCCTATCCCAGCTGTCCATTTATCATTGGTTATTTGACAATTAAAAACATTTGTTCCCACTTCTGTTGGGGATGGGAATACCAAGCAATGCAAGGAACCAGCCTCTCCAAATTCTTTTTTTCAGCTCAGATTCAACAGGAAACTGGAAGTCACAGATCTCAAGGAGAAGGAAGTTTCTGTACTACAACTACAGATTTATTTCTCTTATTTTTATATGAGAGTAACCACTGATAGTAAAGTTGTGTATAACATTCCTTAGTGGGTGAGGGTTAATGATGTGAGAGGAACTGAAGCATGGAGTTTTAAACCTCAACATTAAGCAGCTCTATTATTAAAATTCATATTTATTCCAATCTTGTGCAATGCTTGTGACAGCTCATAGAACTTTGATCTAAAACAAATTGTTATTTTAAATACTGCTGATCCTTCTGAGAAGGCAAATTAAATTCTGGACTCACAGAAGGTTGAAGCACCCACTGTTTCCCAGAGTGAGGCCCCAGTAGAAGAGTCAAGAGAAATTGCATATAAATAGCAAAGACACAAGACAAAAGGTATATTAGCAGCAAATCAAAATGGTCACTTGTGTCTTTGTGTATATGTACAGAATGAGGCCATCTGGGGGCACTGACCTTAGTAACTGGACAGTTATTAAATTAAAAACTAATAAGGTCAGTTCAACAGCAAGCCACCAATGTGACACGTCCCAACATTCTTTGAGTGGGCTCTCAGAGTCATGAACAGTGAAGACAGAGTGAAGATTCACCTTATGAATGCTTTTCCCAAAGTGGACGGTGAGGAGAAGAATGAAATTACAAGGTGGATTTTTAAGAAGCTCAGCTTGGGAAACACAGCCTGAGTCTCAAATACCAGTGAGGTAAAAGATGCAGGAAGATTAGAAATGATGAATAACTGGGTGGTTTTATTTGTATCATGAAAACTTAGGGTCAATGAAAAATTGGACTGCTGTCTTTGATGTACAGAGGAAATGGTAGAGGCAGGGGTGGAGGGAGAATCAGCAAATAAGCAAGAACATGAAAGTTTCTGGCACAACTTGAAATTAATCTCAGAACTTCTGGAGGCCAATTTAATACTCAAAACATCCTTTCCTTTTTCCAATGGGGGTTTATTTATGCAATTATGTAGGACTTGGGAAACATTTTAATACCAGCAGCACTTGATGCTGGGCCAAGTTTACCCAGGTAGCTTAATTTATGGGGGGGGGGAAGTTTGGTATTGGTTTGGTTCATCTCTAGACAAACCCAGATAGAATAGCTTAGAAGGATCCAAATCTTATCAATTCCCAACAGTTAAAAGTTATCTCCAAATGAAGTAAAATTTCAGTCCCCAAAAAAATGTCACAGGTACCTTTACTGTGCTTGAGAAGTCACTTCCAAATGCATACAGTGAAATTCTGGCCCCATGCCTTACAGCTGTTCATATTTTGCTACATAAGAAGCAGTGCACTTGCCAAACTGATTTTCTCAGTAAAATGAGAAAAGGCTGAACCATTTTCCCATTAAAAACATTCACTAGTTTCCCAGGTATGTGTGCAGCAGTTTCTTGTGTCTCTGCTAATAAAGTCTTAAGTGTGCTATAAGCATTTTATTCCTTAGAATAGTGCATTTTCAAGTTAAGCTTGTAATTTGAATAACTTTGTAAAATACCTTTTTCTTCTTTAAAAAAATAGGCAAATATGGGGGAAACTGACACAGGCACCACCGAGAATATCCTGATCTCAGCAAAGTGCCTCTGTGATGCTGGCCTGTCACTGGGATTTGAAACTGGCAGTAGCATTTGTCATACATGAGGACTGGCAGAAATAAAATATCACCTAATTTATGTGTTTTGTTTGCTTTTCCTTAGAAGTCTGAAGACACCTGCCTTTTGTGGTGTAGCTTTCAAAAGTCAGAGAAACAGTACATGAAAATCCAACATACCTGCCTCCACTGTAAGCACCCCTAATATGTTAAAGCTACTAAAAACATGAGCTCTGCTTTTACAGCTACTGTCACCTGCAGAGATCAGAGCTACACATACCTTACAAATTGTCACAGCTACACAAATGAAACTGCAAGTACCTGATCCTGACAGCTGTTTTAAAGAGGATTTGCAGAGCTGCCTCCCAGCTGAAATGCAGACCCATGTGAGCTCAGCCATCCATCACTGCTGCAGATGCTGCCTGGCACAGGAGCTGCCCCACACTGGGCTCTGCCAAGGGCTGGGCTCTCTCTGCCCAGGATGGGAGCTGGTTTGGGTACCCCCACATGTTCCTGCAGCAGTGCCAATGAGGAGAGAGCAGCTGTGCTTTTTGCCCTGAAGTTAATGAATTAAGATCTACCAGGACAAGATGTGGAATTGGGTGCCATTACACACAATTGCAGAGCCCAGAGACATTCAGAGGCTTCTGAAGCAATCAGTGGTAGAGCCTTGGGATGTTAAGGCTGTGCAACAAAGGTTTAGTTTAGGGAAGATGCTTAAGCTTTAAACATCAACACTAAACACCTGATGGTGATGGAAGCATAAACAACTTTTCTTTATTCCTTTCCCCTCTGAATTTACTTGTACTCTATAGTGGGGCTAAAAAAAGAAAATAAGGCAAACACTATTCTCCTAAGCTCTGATCCTTTGTTCTCTGCCCCTGCCACAGTACACCTAAATTTGCTTTAACATACCTTCAGCAGGGTTCAGCTTTGCTGCAGATGTTTCCAAATGTTTCTATTTTAGACAATGCCTGCACAACACACTGAGGTCTTCTCTGAAGCAACAGCTGCTACCCTAAGAAAAAATAAAAAACAGTACCTGGTGGAGCATCCAGGCTGGTGTGTGTTGTATATTTCCCATGGCTCTGTGTCTACAGAGAACATTTCCCAAGGAGGAAGGAGGTTTTTGGTGTCTTTTTGAAAAAAGCAAACAAAACGATTTCCACTTTATGATCACCGGACATTCTTTTGAGATAAACATGAGTGGATAAAGATCCTACATGCCTTTAAGCATAGAGAATAAAACCCACTGAGATTCTAAAGGTTTATAAATGGAAAATCATCACCAAGGAACCAAGAAGTCTGGCTCCCCCTTTGAATGCTGCTCTCAGCCTCAAGGAGACACATTTTTTCATTCAGCTTTCTCACAGCATTCACCTAACTGCACTTGCCAGTATGTTTTGCCAAATTACAGAAACTGCTGCAGAAACCATCTGCTTGACATTGCTTACATATAATAAAGTATGGCTCAATACAATGTGTTGGAAATGTTTGGGGATCTTTACATGGGAACCAAGGGCAGCAGTGCTGACTCAGGCAGATCTCCCGCTGATGTCAGTGGGAATTGCACCTGAATGAGCTCTGCTGGAGCTGATACAGAGCTCACTGTGCTGAGCTCCACTGACAGGAGAACATGTGGTTATAGTTTAACAATACCAACTGTAATGGAGATGAGAAGGAAACTTTATAGCATTTCTGGCTTGCTGCTCTTTTATAACTATCAAAAACACTTAAATGATCTGTACACGTCTGCTCTGTAACAGCTTTCCCAGCTTCAAGTGAACATTGAGAAACTGCTCCAAAGTTAGGTCCTACCTGAGCAAGAGTTTATCTGTTGATATAAAAACATGAACACCAGAACGACTACATATAAAGCCTAAAATAAAACTTCATGATTTGCCTACAGATTGTAGTACATTGTCTCTGGGTGAGAATGCAGGGATTTCAACATGTCCCCAGTGGTTCAATGTGAGGCAGAAATAAAGCCTTTGTAGAACAGACTCTGTCAGCCCAGTAGCAGGATACGTGTGACAGCTGCTACATCAAAGCACAGCAGCTTCTCAAATTTGCCTCCAAATGTAGGTGTTACAAAATCACAGTTTCACTAAGTGTAAAAGCTGAGTGTGTTATAGCATCTGTGAATCGTGATCACCAGAGCAGCACCTCCAGGGGGATCAATCAATTCCCCAACCTCACATGAGCTGCAGAAGGCTGAAGAATGGCAACAGGGAGAAAGTAAAGAAGAGAAGCTATGATACATGTTCCCACAAATCTCAACCACAGTTACAATAGAAGGAATTCTGAACCATCACTAATTCCTAGGAAGGGGCCACATTGGAGAACCAAATGCAGAGCAGGTAAAATATTTCCTTTTGGAACCCACTAATTAGCATGCACCCATCACAGAGGTTGCAATTTGATTGCAGCTCCCAGTCATGTGCCCTTTTCCTTCAAATACTACCAATAAACTCCCATGTTTTGCATTACACAGCTTCTGCTGCCCTCAGTTTACCAGCCATGGGAACACTGTGTGTGAGATTAGCTCAGTTTGTCAGAGCAGGGTATAAAAGGCTGTGGGTTTGATTGCCTTATGGGCCATCCACTTGAAAGTCAGACTCAATGATCCTTGTGGGTCCTTCCAACACAGAATATTCTGTGATTCTGAAATTCACTTCCACATCATGTCTAGAGAAACTGCACTCCTTTTTCTCAGGCACAGGGACACAGTGAAAGCTGAAAACTATCACATGGATTGTCTGTTTTTTTCATGTGATGAAAGGCAGAAGTGGCTGGAAATTGAAAATATGAAGGCAAGGAAGATCTCACTCCAAATCTCAGAGAGTCCAGCTTTGTAGTAAGTGATCACCCTCACTGTCAGATATTGTCCAGAGTGGACCTCTGGGTAGGGATCTTCCTGCATTGAGGTGGCCAGGATAGAGATTCTGAGAAGTTTCAACTGATCTGGTTGAAGGAATGTAACAACTTCGTGTTTGACCTCTGATTTGGGCAAAAGCCAATGCCTGGATACTTTATAAATCATTGCTCAATGCCCTCCTGAAGCAGACAGTGAACAACATCTGCATTCCACTGAAGGGAGCCTGGACAATCAAAGTGAGGGACCCAGCACCCAAGCTGGAGCTCACTGGCAGAGAGGAGACTCTTCCTGGTACCCTTTGTGAGGAGATTCTCTGACCACTTGTTTAGCCTCAATGCCTGATTCATCCTTACCTGTACTCCATGTTTCCTATAAACTCTCCTGGAAGAGAATCCACTTGCACAGGGATGCTTAGGAAGAACCTTGAAGTATCAATAATATCCTCTATGCTGCAGTCTCATTATAAGGCTTCTGCAGACCGAGAAAAATGCATCAAACAGACTTTGGTCCCCAAAAACATGGCCCTAATACCATATGAAGGAGTGTATCTACCATCCACAGAATCACAACTTGTCATTAGGAAACAGTAAAATAATAAAATAGTCATTCCTGTAGAACTATAATGCCTCAGAAGACACTAAGTGTTAGAAAAAATATTTGAAAGTTGAAATAAGGAAGTTTGGCTTAGAGAAATCATCACAGAAGGGGCATCAACTAAAATTCCAAAACAACTGTAAAGCAATAAGGTCAATTAACATACAGAGGCACCATTAATTTGTCTTACAATATCAATTCCCCCTTTACTGTAACATTAAAAAGCTGTTGGTCTGGGTCAAGTGAAAGAACAGTTGTGTCCCTGCAGTTATTCAAAGGAACATGAAGTCTGTAGTTACACACAGTAGAACACTAATTTTAGGGAATGCTTACCTAGCATGGACCTTGGTGCTACCAGAATTGCCATTCCTGAACAGCTACTTGCTTATGACAGATTACTTGACACACCTTAGTTCTGCCTTTTGTGTGAATATCATACTTTTATAGCTCCTTCTTCCAATGTACCTACTGAGACAAAAGGTTTATATGAAATAAAGCAAGTAGGAAAAGTAAGAAATGTGGATCATTGCTGTAGTTTCTTCCCCTTTGTAAGATTAAGGGAAGGAATGCAGTATGTACCTCTCACCTTAAGTGAAAGCGAGTCCAAAATAATTCTTATTAATTAATTCTTCAAATTAAATCTTATTAATTAATTCTTCAAATTAATTAATAATTAATGCTGAAGCTTATAGTTAAACCCAGACAATCAAATATTAGTTATTTAACTTCTGACATCCCTGTGTTACCTTGTCCTTGTTGCTTCCACTCTTGCTTGTGTTTTTGTATCTCACATTTCTCTTTTCCAGCTGGAACTGTAATTCTGTTCCCAGGGGTGACTAGAGCAGGGCAGCCATCTGTGGGGCAGTGGTTTTGCCTGGATCATCAGTGCACAGCAGTCAGTCTCCAACCTGCCTCAAAAGCACCAAGTCCCAAAGCACAGCTTGGCACAGAAGTGAGGTTTTGTTCAGAGGAATCTGACCAGGATGGTGTTGAAAGCAAGAGCATGTCCATACTCAGGGTGAGTGGGATAAATCCAGAATGGGACAGGTCACTGCCTGCCATGTCTCTCACACAGGAGCCCACAGAAGACCCAAACAAACATTTGCAAAGCTGCACAAGGAGCTGAACTTCAGCTCTGGGCTCAGAGCAGTTTTAGCACTTGATCAAAGGAGATGGGAGTTTTACTTTGGACAGTAGACTTTATTAGAAATTTTCTCCTCATTCATCAGTAAATTCACATTAAAATATGCTGAAGGCAGCTCAGTCTAAACATTTGACATTCTGCCCTAACAACAACTTCCAGTTTAAAAACTAGATAACTGATTCAGGCAGATAACTTGAAACATGTAAGAAACACAAACAGAAAGCAGCATCTTAAAAAAAAGGGATGAGCCTGAAAAACTGATACATTTCAGATGGAGCTGGGGAAAAAACCAGAATCAGTCACCCCAAGATGGGAAACAATTAAATGAGAACTCCAGACGCTAAACAGATAAATAAACATTATAACCACACATACATTAAAAAGAAAACAAAGTACTTAGAGTTCATACCACATAAAAATTATAAATTTGTTTAAAAAAAAAAGTGACAAGCTTCCTAAAATATGAATATCCTAAATTCTTGGGACAATGAACACTTTGTTATAAACTGCAGAACTTTGGAGGGACTAGATTTGGTCTTGAAAACAATGAACTGCACCTTACTGTTACCAAGTCCAGAAACTGATCTGACACATAAACCATTTGTTTCCTCCCATGTTTTAAAACCACATTCTCTTCTTTTAGACAATAATCTGCTTTTTTTAAACATTAGAGCTTTTAGATATTATAGGCCTAATTATGTTGAGCACTGAACACACAGAGCTCTCAATAACTCTGCATACCAAGGTTTAAATATTTTTCAAGAGTTACTGTAAAGACTTTTCCTTTGCTAATGTTTTTTTATTTACTGGAGTAAAGTGTAGGAGAGAGGACAAAAAATGAAAAACATAATATTGAAAAATGGTCTGCCTGCAGGACACTGAATCTTGCAGGTCAGATTTTCTTTTGGCATTTACCAGAAGCAACAAAGAAAAACTAATCAGTGTATGAGAGATGAGAATTATAGCCTTCAGGACTGTAAACACAAAAGGCAACAGGTAACACATGAACCTCAATCAAATCAATGTTTTCACATTCTTTAGTAGTCCCCCACAGTGATCTGCTTTCACTGGTTCAGAAAAAAATACATATATTAAAAATTAAATAACACTTCAGTGTCCATCACAAAAATTTATATTTTGCTGTAAACAATTTTCTGCCATTTGCATTGATGAACTCCAATGTGAGGCCAGAGGGTTCTAGATTTCTTATTGGTACTGTAAATAATTTTTCAGAGACAGAGGCAAAGGTAGAACTTCTATGTCATGCAGGCGGTCTCTGCCAAGAGCAAAACGAATTGATCTTCGGCACAAGTCCATTAAAGGCAGGGGTTCCGCTGGAAAAACAGGAGAAAGAAAAGAAAACAAAGAGTTAATTTCTCAGCATCTCCATTTACAGACACTGTTTTGTTTATTAACAGAGATTCTGTATTCTATTGTCAGTCACAAAGATAGCAATGGTATTGGGAAAACCTCTGTATCTTGAGGCAATTAAGATAATCAGTAGAAGTCAAGGCAGAATTTTCTACATTTCACCATAGTCAGGGGCTGCAAAGTTTCACACTGAGCTTCTTTATCTGTGAGGTTTAAATCAATAGTGCCAAAGCACTCTTCAGGCTGCTCTACCAAGCATGAGAAGTTACTACATTTCCAGATCTCAAACAAGACAGGGAGTTTCTACTGTGTTTATAACACAACATTCATCATTTCGTGTTAACATGAACTACACTGGCAACTTCTGACCTTTTCATCCCAGCTCCTTCTGCATCTTAGGAACTGGAAATGGCACTTAGGGGTAACCCAACTTCTCAGCCAACAGTGCTTTTCCTGCAACACTCTTTTAGCCTTTCCTTCTAGGAGCTCCTTTGGAAGAAAAAACTAAACAAAACACCCTCCAAAATCTAGAGGAAACATAACCTTTTCCTCTGTGAATAAATTAGTGGAGGAGGATTTGGCTGACTGGAAGCCAGAGTGTGTGTTCCCATATGTAAGCACCAAACACCCCCAAAATATATAAACAACATCTTCAGATGTCTCCAGTTTAAATTAATCAAAGTGAATTAAGTATCTGCCAGAAATGCCTTGCTGATACCACTTCAGATTGGAGACCCAAACTCTGATCCCCAGCATCTCAAACCATCTCACCCCTATATCTCACCCTGGCCTGCAAAGCTAGCACAGAATTGCAGGAATATCATCAAATTTCCACCTCACAGTAGCAAGCATCATCTCTGTGACTGCAGTGTTGGCAATGGAAATCCTTCTGCCACAGGAGCTGGAATAAAGCTGTGAAGTCTTGTACCAGTTACTGCTATCTTTAAGAATTCCAACCAGATGGATTTTGTTGCACATGCTGGCTTATAAAGGTAAGAACTTAAAAGATTAGAGGAAACTTTTCTTCTTTACATGATGAAAGAGTAGTAGCCTTAAAAAACCTTACTAGCACTTTCAAGGGAGGGGGAAAAAAGTATTGTGCCTATATTGTAATGGTAACATTTAATAAACTTGACAGATTTCTTACAAGTGCTCAACACTGTACAGCACTCAGTGGTTTTATCCAGATCTGTGTATGAGCCATGTGCAGATTTACACACACTGCCTAGAGGAAGGAGTCCCCTCATGGCAGGGGGGTGGAACCAGATGACTTTTAAGGTCCCTTTTAGGGACCATTCCATGACTTTATTCTATAATTCTGTGTTAATCCATCAATCTGTTAGCTGATATTTTAAAACTAGTTGGGAAAAAAAATCACTACAAAGCACAAAATACCCAGTTAAGGACTGGATTTATATGCTAGAATTGTCTGCTCTGGTGACACACCACTGACTTAATGGATTTTCCATCATTTATCCCAACATCACATTTGATTTGTGTCGTCCACAGTTCACTAAGATATTTCCCCAAAGTGGCTGCAAAAAAGCTTAGAAAGCATTCTGAAAGACTAAAAGGTTTTTTTAGCTAATAACCACTTCAGTGACAATATGGAGTCTATTTCTTGGCAATACACCTCATTGATAATTTTACCTATTAAAAATTACACAATAAGAGCCCTCACATTCCATTAATAAAGCAACATTTTCTCTGCATAGGTGATCTTAGTTTTCATTTTTTCCACAGCAGAATTATGGATGTTAAATCTTAAGGGATAAAGCTGTGAAATTCATTAACCAGAATTAATAAGCAGGAGCAAAAATAGCTCATGAGTTCTGGGACACAGAATACAACACATCTTACAAGCCTTACACCATAAACAACAATTTTCTGAGTATCTTCCCACAATCTCTGAGGTCCCATTAGGAAGATATAAAATGAGCAGGAGGAGTGTTTAAAGCCATTAACTGACCATGTGGTGTCTTTTTTTTCCTAGACAAAGGAATATGTAAAATGTAACCATCTGTGCAGCCAGGCACAGTGTTAATCCCAAACTTCAAAACACAATTTAAGGAAAGGTTAAATTATTTTTCAAGCTTGAAATGCTAAATGAATGTCTCCTGTCTCACTTCTACAGGGAATTTTCAAATGCTGAAGAAAATGCCCTCAAGTGTTTGCAACAGCTGCTAAATTGCACATGCTAAATGTGTTTTTGCAACTTGAAAATTGAACTATATTCTTTTATTCTACCCGACAGCAGTTCAAACCTACAACAAATTCAGAACAGGTTAGTCCTACAATACTAAATAAAAATTATGTTTTCTGGGGTGCTGGCTGTAAGAACTTGAGAAAAAAATTGTAATAATAGCATTTTAAATTAAAAGTGTATGTAGCTGTGCATAGTCCTAAATGAATAAAAATTAAATTCAGAAAAAGAAATAATCTTAGTTTTGAAACAGTTTATGGGACAAAGGTAGAGCTCTTAAAATTAAAGACTGACAATTCTCAGGCAGCCTAACTTGACAGAACTATTATAAAGCACTTGGTGTGTACCTTAATGCTGTCACTCCCCTTCCACCACATCTCACATTTTCACTACACATTTCACAAATCAGGAATCAAAGTATCAGAGTAAGTCAGTCCTTGCAGAGGGGAAAGGACACACACAGACTCAGTGCACCCAAAACACTCCACAGCACATTCAAACGTTCAAACCATACTTCCAAAATGCTGTTTTCATTTGAGACCATAGAAATACTGCTGAGAACAGTCTAATAATGCAAGAGATGGGAAAAGATGAATACACTGAAGACACAGCATTAGCTTTAACTTGGCTACAGAAAAAGCCTTTCCTTCCCACCTTTAAATATTTACCTTTGAAAAACTTTTAAATTCAGGGATATTAACTGTTTGTCAGAACATCCCACTAATTCTAACACATACTAGGTGTACTAACAGTTGTATTTTTTAAACAATCCTCAATGGATTGGAACTGGAACATTCAAGGGCCCCAGAAGAACCTGAACTAACAATTTTTCCAAAGTTATGTGAACTCCAGTAAAGTTCTTGCCATTAGAAAAAAAAAAGAGGAACGAATTGTTGAGCTGGAATGCAAAATTGCAAAGAAAACATGATTCACAAGAATGGCTCTTTGTACTAAATTCCCAACCAGGCTAAGGAAACCCAAGGTGAGACACTCCAGGGCAAGGGAGCAAGCTCTGCACAGGAAACCCAGCGCTTCCTCTGGGCTGCAGCAGCACCAGGAGAGAAACTGCAGCTTTGGGAAACAGCTCCAGGCCTGGGCCAGCCCCAGGCACCCTCCTGAACACCCTGTACCCAACCCCCTCCTCATCCAAAGTTTACTCTGAGACCCCTTCACCCAAAGGTAGCTCCCCATATCTGCCACATTACAGGAAAGTATTTCTCAAGAGAAGAAAAAATGAATTTTAAAAATACTGCTTAATTGACATGTCCGAGTTTAATTCCTGTGTCTCCCCTTTTGGCACCAGTAGTTTTAAAAAAGGCCCATTTGCAAACCCTCCTTTCCAGACACTACAGTCACACCCAGGGGGACACTTTGGCAGCACAGCCACAGCCACTCCTCTTACCCAGAGCTGCATTTCACCAAGAGGGCCACAATACAGATTAAATGGCTATTTAACATAGTAACTAATAACGTAAAAATCGCTTAAATATATGTTTGGTTAATTACATTAATTAAAACAGCTATTGAGTAACTGTTGATTCAGCTATTGATTCAGCTGTTAATAACACAAAATAACTGTGTTATTATACATATAGTCATTCTAATGGTGTCACTGCTGGGTTAAGGACAAAGGCAAAGAAACGTTTGTAACCAGACAACCCTGTGCTTGTGAGCATTCCTCCAGTGCACATACATTTTTGAGAGCAATTTGCACATCATTACCAGCTGAAAAGTTCATTTAGTTTTGGCAACCTGTAGTTATTTAACAATCTGGCACTCGAGCAAGGCTGCCTCCTCTCTGCAAACAGGCTTTTGTAGAGGAGATAAAGTCATCGAGCAGCTGATAACACTAAATGTTATTAACTGCAACATTACATACGGCTCACACTAAAGAGCAGCCCTTAGCAGACAACACTTATTTGCCAAATGACAATACTATTTTTAAAAATAAATTTGTAAAGCTCTAACAGTCAATGAAGAACGTATTTTTATCTCGTGTTATAAAAGCAGAGATGACTGGGAGGGAGAACCACAATCAGCAAAATTAAAGCTGGGTGAAAGACAAAGGAAGTTTTCATGAGAACTGATGTCACTAGAACTTAGGAATTTATAGATACATACCTAAGACACTGAGCTACCTTATATTTCGATAGTTTTGACCTTTAACTTATTAAAAAGCACTTAAATTCAGCAATTCATGTTAATGTTAACAATTGCTGAAAGGCACTTTTAAAGTCAGATTTAAAAAACAAAACCAAAACCCAACAAAACCCCCAGTATTAGGAGACATATGATTGCACACCATTAAATAAGTGAGGGACATCTCTCCAGTTCTAACTTTGCTTTTCTCAAAATGGATGGAGCCAGCTCATTAAGGAGCTGAAGCCACAATGCCTCCAGAAAGGGAATGTAAAGTCTTGCAGAAGGGCTGCATGCCTGGTGCACAGAGAGGAGTGTGGAAAGGAGGGAAAAGCAGGTTGCCATTGCTCATGTCCTTATGTCACTGCTTGTGTCCTACCTGGTTGTCATGGTCAACACTGGCCAAATGCTAGGGCACCCACAAAAGTCATTGCTCACCCTCTTCTGCTACAGCTGAGCCTTCCCTGCCTACCAAAACCCAGGCTGTGCCCAATCAACACACCTGGGCACAAGGTTTTCTTTATCTTCTGTACTTTCTGGCTATTGCCCTGTTCTCCTTTCTAGCCTTCACCTCTCTAAGTCAGCAGCACTCCAGCTCTCCCCAGCACTGCCTTACACTGC